GCGTCGTCCTCTCAAACTTCACGAAATCTCAGTACTCGATGAATCTGAACGATTCCAAATTCACGGGGATCGGAATCGGTTCCGACCATGACTGGGTAGTGGTCGTGCTCACGACGAACACCCCTGAAGGAAGCTACTCACCAGCCACGAAGGACAGCTCCAATGGTGATGTTTTCGGCGTACGTATCGTTATCCACTCCATGCTTCTGGTTATATCCACTGTCCTGTTCTTGTTGTGAGTCCGAGTTTGAAGTCATGTCCTTTGATGTGATTATATTGTCTCTGTCTTTGTTTTCCGATTCATGAACTCGTGTGTGTAATGTAGTGTTCACCTTCTCAGTTTTTCTTTTTACGGTGCTGAGCTCATTATATAAATCGGATTTTCCTCGTACGGAAAAAAAATAGAAAATGGTATTTTCTATATTTTTTTATGAGAAAAAAAAAGATCCAAAATCCCAAAAATAGCTCAATATTAATTTACTTGGGCTGAAATGAAGAAAATAAATTCCTGAGCCTAATGGGCCCAAAAAATATAAATATTGAAAATAGAGGGGCTCAAATGGGAATTATACCTCCATTATATCCAATATAAAAATGGAGCGGATATAATTTTTTGGTACTTTAGAATAAGCTTCGTTCGAATATTGATTTTCCAATCAAAATAAACATAAGCAATTTTTTTTTATATATAAAAATCAACTTAATTTAGCTAGGTGTTATGACATTATCCGACATGGTTTCAACGTCGTAACCGAACTCAGAATTAAGGGATTAATTTTAACTGTTGCTCTCGCGACCGGACTCCTAACTTATTGATTAAATAATTCGGTCAACGAAATAGAGAGTGATCACAAAATGAAGAGTCTTTTTAATTGGAAAAATAAATGAAAATAATAAAAAGTATGACTTTATAAGGGCAATATGGTAATTTGATAGAATACGAGGATAGAAAGGGAGAGGACGTCATGGGCATTAAATAAGACCTACGTAAAATAACGCACGCACCAATCCTCATGCTCTGCTTACCCACCAAGGAAAAAAAAATACCAAATGCACAAAAAAAAAAAGATTTCATAAAACATTTACTTTTTTTTTTGTTCACATTCAAATGTTGAGTGTATATATATATATATATATGTATAATTGTGTTGCGTAAAAGCCGGGTACCTAATTCGAAGCACACCCAAAAAGAAGAGATTGCGTCATGAATCATTAATAAGCCAAAAGTGGATAGGGGGCTAATGGATTAGATCAAGCACCAAAGTCAATTCATGGCATTTACGTACCATAAACCACCACAAGTGTCGTGGAATAGTCTTACCTTACCATTTGATTCCATACTATATATTAATTATATACGGTATATATATATATATATATATATATATAAACATATGTGTGTGTGTGTGTCTTCCTCCTCTAAAGCTTTGGCACTCTATCAGGTTAGGTCCATGATAATTGTAATTTTTTGCACTCTTTGATGAATATTTTAGTGAACGCGGATTCCATGCAGACGATCTTTGCAGCAAATGGAACGTGAAAAGGAGCTTTTTAGTTATTGTTAATTTTTTTTGATAAATTTTTTAGTATTATTATTATTATTATTTTTTATAAACAGGGTAGTTCTGGGATCTTCGTCACTACATCCACCCTAGACCTGCGACCAGCTTTTGTATATGAATTTTGATCCAGAAATTACATCACTCTCCACCAGTGAAATCGAACGCATGACCTTTAGGATGACTTTGTCACCTCTCAACAACTGGGTTACCAACTGTTGGGTTTTTTAGTAGTAGTATTATTATTTTTTTTGGTTAAATAGTAATAGTATTATTATTAACGTGTTCCAATAAAGAATATCAATAGCAATAAACTCTTTAATAAAAAAAGAGTTTGAATATTAAAAGGGCATTTCGTGTTGGGTTTTACGCGTCACTCATCACTAAATATTATATTTTACAGAGGAGGAAACATAGCAATTTACAAAGCCTAATGGTTTCCACTGCGACTGCCTAATCTCGATGATGTATTGCTGAAAATTCAGTCTTAAACTTCAAGCATATATAGCTTTTGTATATTTCTGTTTTGTGTTATGATATTCAATAAAATGAATGGGAAAAATAAGGTCAAAATAGAAGACTAATTGTGTAAAAACATAAACGTTGAATTACATCCATGCATTTATATATATATATATATATATATCGTCCGTACGACGAACCTTTTTGTGGGAGAGGAAGATAGAGAGCTTTAGGAAGATGACGTGCCATTGTACGGACTAATGTTTCATTTGCTCATATGTATATATGTCTGTATGTGTGCGCGCGCGTGAGAGAGAGAGAGAGGCGATTTTTTATGCATATTTTTTTAATTGAAAATTGAAAGGCGAAAATAAGCTATTTAAAGCTTTTTTTTTTGTAAATAAAGATTTTTTTTTCCTGATAAAACATATATGTGTTTTGATTTTATAGTAAGCTGAAAATCTATAAATTCTAGAAAATCTTTAATATCTCTATTTTAGTAAACACTGTAAGTGATATTTTTTTTTATAAAAAGGATAGATAATTCATGTACAGCACATGCACCGACAGACAATGAACACATGATTGCACATTCGCGGAAACTATGCCCAAGGCATACGTAAACACACTTTGTACCATATGAATATTTTTTCTTCTACATGATATTATTTTCTAATCTAATTGATAATATTTACATAATGTGTATATATATATTTAATAGCAGTGAATGCAATCTAATTTGAATGAGTATAAGGTGAATTTAATGCAAAGTCTAAAAATTGAATTAGTAATATATGACTGGCATATATATATATATATATATAATCCCATAACATATGTCCGTAAATAAAGTTGGTATCGGACCATCAAAACGAATATTTACATAACCATATTAACTGCCGACCGGACCGCGATACCCTATTCCTTCCGACCATGCATTCCTTCTTATTTTTATTGTCTTTTATATATGATATTTAAATTAATGTGAGTCATTAATGGCGCTTATTATATGAGATAGAAAATGTCGGCATTTATAAAAAAAGGAGAAAAAAAAACCATGACACCCCAGAGAAAATGATCGTCAAACTGTGAATACAGAGAGATCAAGAAAGGGAAAAAAAAGAGAAGGAAAATAGAGTTTCTATATATTTTTAAGAAGTGGCAACACAGAAATGCTCCCAATTTAGCAATCCAATACAATCTCGATCGCCATGAACACACCTTCCAGGACTTTGAATATGATTCACCATTCCCTCCACTTGGTTTCCTTCCTTTTCTTCTTCTTCTTCTTCTTTGAGCGCATCACTTTCAGGCTCGATCATCTCCTCTTCTTCTTCTTTATCTGCTATTTGGTCATAATCTCTTAAGATGCAGAGACGGAGACGGCCATTGCCTCTTTCAACCTGAAAGCATGTTTTGTTGAGTGGCTCCTTGGAGGCTTTTAGTACTAATCTCCCGTCTTCTCGGTAAGGCCTCAGGTGAATACAGTCGGACCCCCTCATACTTTTCAAAGGAGGTGGCAAATTAGGGACCGCGCTCCCTTTCCTACCTTTCGAACCCTTACTCGATAACGTTTTTGTCTCGACATCGGATGAAGCAAATGAGAACACGTCATTGCCAGAGATATCATCGGAGCCCGACTCGTTTCCAAGATTCTCAGTGCACAACGCCAAGCTCTTTTCACTTAGAATCTTAGACGGGGAGCATTGACCATAAGTTCTCTCGTTCTCACCAAGGCTAGGGTTTGATAGAGGAGAGCCGCTCGAGATAGCCTCGAGGAAGCTCTGACAACCCGAGTCGGGATGGGTGGACACCGAGTTGATACGCTTGCTAGTGTCCCCCGGAATGGATTCTAAGGGAAAAGACTTAAAAGATAACTCAAGAGGCTGAAAGAAGTGGTGAGGATTGGGTGAAGATAACCTAAGCCTCAGAGCAAATGGCTCATTGAGTTGGGACTCTAAACATGGCTGAAACCCTTTATGACACACAACAGTTGCCATAACTAAGAGGTTATTGGGATGTGAAGTAAAGAAGCAAGTGAAGCAGAGAAAGCAAGAGATGCGTTGAAAATGAACATGAAGGGTAAGGAAGGGAGGGTGCCAATTTGTAGATGCCCAAAAGTTGAATAAAAAAAGAGGGGTATAGTGTGCAGAGAGCTTTTTGACACACCACCACTTTTGAATAATGCAAATTATTTAAACATGACACACAATGCATACAAGAATAATTTCAATTAAATAGAAAAAGGCGAGGGGGAATCCAACGAAGAAACAAATTAATTCTATGGTGGACATGGTTAAAATAAAAACATTTTTTTTAAAAAAAAATGCTGTATGAGTCAACTGTCTTTATTCCAAAGTGTTTATATTTAGTTTAACACCCAAAAAAATAATAAAATAACAAAATATGCAATTTCGGAAAACCATATGATATCCAACCTTTGCCTGTTTTTCTAATGAAGAGATTGAATGTGGTAGAACCACATGTGGGGAGTAAAACCCCGAAAAGTTACAAGCTTTGTAATCCGTTTCTCTATTTATCTTCACAGGGAGAGAAAAAAAAAAGCCGACCAAAAGTCCTCGTACTCATTTTTACATATTATTACAGCGACCTGCTTCTGTGCTAACATTCTTTTGCTCAAAGCAAAGATTCATGTGTCGCACGTTCCAATCCTATGTCGGTTGATTCTTAAACTAGCATGTAACGACATGACAACAAACAGCCCACCAATGTTGAAATCCCCATCAACTAAGTCTACGATTATGGGCACCAATCATGGCGACAAACATATGCCACAATGCACTTGTAGAAGGAATGCCCATGGCGTGGAACATGCATGGATCACATCATACCATGGAGAAAAAAAAAATACCCAAAAATTGGGTATACATAGGTAATCCTCTAATTGATGAGACGGGGACAAGTATTGACATCAAAAATTGGGTATACGAGATTCACGTATCCGAGCCATGACTCAAATAGTCGAATCATGGATACCCAAAGTCAATGACACCCAAAATGGGTATCAACACCAAACTATCCAAACTATCCAAGACAAGGTATGAATACCCTTTAAAAATTTGCCAAGCTATCTAAGAGAGGACAAAAAAAATGTGCGTAAAAAACACGCTTACCCAACAACGCTCGCCGTCCTTGTGTATTTGAATGCAAGGAAAAACACGTATTCCGCACACTTGATATGACCTGAAATCCACCTTCATATTGCATTTAAAAAGATGGAAAATACATAAATGACCAGGGCTTTGGTTTTAATACAATAAAGTTGAGAAACGAATAGAACGAGCCCACCTGGGTTTCGGATGCTTATTCTGGGCAGAGATTTACTGCCATAGATAGAAATTACACAGGTTGCTGCTTTTTTAGCAGCTCTCTTTCAATATGATTCTTGCCTTTTGCCAAACCATGTTACCCTAAACGTACGGATAGCTCAGCTCATGAAGACAAAGCTGAGACCCCTCGGTTAATAAGGGCAAGTGATTCCCCACTAACACACTCTCTTCTGCCTCTCTGTTAGATGCTTACGTACGAACCCTAATAATAACTTAAACATTTCTTTCTAAAAGTCAAGACGACAAAAGAAAAGGACACACGCACACTCATAAACCGTATGGGCTGGTTAACGACATGACTCACTCTCCTTTAGCATCACAACGTTCAAGACCTTGCAAAAAGCTATTCTGGCAAACCATTTCCAGTCCAAAGGAGGGCGGTTGGAGGTTTTGAGATTCTGGATTTCCTGTAATGGAAAAGCCATCTCAGTTTTGTAACGTGTAAAGAATAACAAGAAACTATATGCTGATGAACTGTGTAGCATATAACAATATGCTTTAGTCATCATACCACCCTGCTGAAGTTAGTGCAGAACCAACACGAGCAGGGTTTAAATAAATTTGATGAAATTCGATGACCACTAGGAAGGTTAGTACAGTGGTACCTTGCTATTCATTACATTAATACCTATATTGTCTTTTGAGGTTTTCCAATATTTTGTAATACTTTCTAACTAGTAAAAGTTTCCTATATATTCCCAGTAGTTGATCATCTGTTAGTCTGGCAAAGAGGTGAACTGAAATAACATTACAATACAAATGCAAAGATGTCCTGAACAAGAAAAGTTTGCTAAACATATGAGTTTCTTGCTGTTTACCTTGCTGCAGCCTACTCTGCAATGCAATTATATCATACTCATCACATGTTCTGGTGGCAGTATTGGCATACATAGATGAGTTGCGTTAAAAAAAAAATTGATAGATGGCATAGAAAGTTCTCTCAAATTTATATGAAATGTCTTCAGAACCTGCAGTTTTATGGCAACAGACCTTGTGACAGCAATTCAGTTCCCGAAACATAAACGAATCTATGTTCACAACATGTAGCTGTCATTTATGATATTACCCCCATGGAGAGAATTAGATATTTTTCAGGTGCCAGAATTCTACAGTTCCTCTCCCATGAAGGAATCAAGAATGAAGTAGCACTGAGTTAGTAGGAATAGTTAAACACAGTTGAGAATGATTGAAGAATTAAAAAAGTAAGGGTAGCATACGTAAGCGGGTATAAAAAGGTATGACATAGTTAATTAAGAAATTGGAAAAGAGCTGACCTGCAGATGTAATCTTTCCGACAAAATATCTAGATATTCAGTCTTGATCAGGACAAGTGACGTGGTCCTAAATTCCGAACCACCGCATAGAAGAATAGAAAGCAGAATTGCAACCTTTGGCCAGCCGAAACGAGCATGCTTTTCAGTGTGTCCTTATACAAAAGCTGCTTTCATAGTGAGATTTCAATAATTAAGAGAGACAGCTGACAGAAGCAAAAATACCATATTAAAATCAGAATATATTTTGACCTTTATAACCCGCTTTGTAATTCAGGTCCACGATGAGAAAAGGAAAAAAAAAAAAAAGAATGAGACTCGAATCAGAATCCATCAATATTTGTTATTTGTCTCAAGTTAATGGAGGGTCTGAAGGCAGAGAATACGTCATTCCAATTCAATTTTGGTGGAAAGTAATAAACTTAAGCCTGAAGCTTTTGTAAATGTATTTCATAGTATTCCATGCTAACACATGTCAAGCAACTATTGGATAACATAGTCCACAAAAGTAGGTAGAATAAGAATATAAATGCTTATGCATATAACCATAGGTAATGTATCATGTATCGTCCCAGCACGTAAAAGTTTCCAGCAGCTACAGTCAGCGGACAATTAAATAACTTATTGTAGTCTAAAACAAATTAATATAAACCACAGAGACAAACGCAATAACTTACATCTAGTTTTAATGTTCGGTCTCATCCAATGAAGAGCCCTGCAGTCCATCTCGAACGATTTCCTTGGACAAAGCAAGAAGCTCGTGTTAGTTGCATGATGTCATGAAGCCAGGTGAACCTTCAAGCCAGCGGGAACATAAGAGCAACAATCTTAAATTCAACTGGTATATAATCAAGAAAAAAAAAAAGAAAGAAGTCAGATGTTAAAGGCCCAGCCAAGTCATAGTGGACATTATAGAGTTATAAACTAGATCACAGGATTTTTGTGCTCAAGCTCAAGCATCCAAAATAATCAGAATTGACTTGCCAGAAAAGGAAAAACACTAACAGATGGATGTCTTTGCGATGCTGTTTCTGGGAGTGACAGTTGGGAGTCACACATAACACGGCGAAAATGATCAAGCAAACAAGGGGAGAGAGAAGGAAAGATGATGCATCTTATATTATCATGTAAGCAAACAGCTCCGAGCAAAACAAGGATCCTCCTGTTGAGTTAGAAGATCGTTTTATCCATTCTATGCATGCTTTCAAGGAACCTTGGTGCTGCACTAGAAGGACCCAATATAGCCGTTTGGAGGATCAAGAGAACTCACTCACAATCTGATCAAAATCTTCATCAAAGCAGCAATATATGCCAATGCACTTATATAAGATATAAGATATAAGAGGGCATGTATTCTTCATCTTTTAATATACACGAATTGGAGACTTTCTCCAAATTACTTTCATCTTCTTGAGTCTCATCTCATTTTCAAGTTCTAAAACTATCTTCGATCTATCACAAACACTACAAAAACCGACACCTCCCTCCTGGAAAAAATCATCAATTCCTCGAAATTAGTTTAGACCCATTTTGTGAACAATGAACTACCATAAGGACGGTCATTATAACTTTATACGCAACGAAATATCGGGCGAAGCTAAAAACCTATTTGGATTCTCGGCCGTGCATGAAGCCAGACATCGATCAAAGGCCATTTTTAAGTTCATTTGCTGAGTATGTGGCCATCTCTTCCAATGTGAAAGCAGATAGGCACGATGAGTCACAACAAAGAAATCATTGTACATTGCAAAATAACGATAAGATGCAAACAATGGCGTCACGAAATTGCATAGGCACGCCAGTAGACAGTACATCCCTCGAGAATCGAGGATGGCCACAGTTTACATCTAATGCTTCTGGTAAGATAAAGTGCATGATTCGATTCACTGAATGAAAACAACATCTTCTAATCACCCTTCGCATTTCATATAAACGAAGTAAAAAATAGGATATTCAAGCTATGGGGAAAATTGTCAACGATAAACAAACAATACAGAGCAACACTCGTATATACAATATCTGCACGTAGACAACAACAACAACACCATTTCCTTTCTCCTTAAATTATTACACATTATATTATATGTATGTATGTGTATCTCGAAAGTCACAGACCAAGCCGACCTCTGGGAAACAGAAACGTGTTAGAAATCAAATCTCAATTTCCGAGATGAACACCGATACCGACTAATCGCGTCTACACAGCATTTGTGATTCCGCACGATTTACGACACAGCAAATTTCTATAATCAAAGGACCGAAAATTGGAATCACAGACACACACGAAAAAGAAGAAGAATAAGAAGACGGAGGCAAACCGACCTCTCCCGAAGGAATTGCAGACGCAGTGCGCCCATGGTGTCTCGGCTTCTCTTCCCCAGGAACCGCCATCGACATAAAATTTGAAGAAGCAAAAGGGAAGGAAAGAAAACGAAATCGCCGAGGAACCTAATCGGACTCAAATTTCTCGGCGAGCCACGTGTCGAACTCACGCTTGTTCTTAAAAAAATCGAAAGAAATTTGTGATCTAACGTTGACTAACGGAGAGGAAAAAAGAAGAAGAGAGAGAAAACTGACGCCGTTACCCAAAAAAAAACCCATGGCCAAATTGGGTTCTCTACGGTTTCTTGATAAACAAGTTATCTCTGCCCTCGCGTTCTTCTCAATGAACACCTTTTGGTCATAGCTTATAACCATTTGTGGTAAGTTTAGATATATATGGGTGTTCTTTGAATAGGCAGGCCCTTGATTCACAATTTTGTTGGACCTTATACCCATTTATTTTCTTAAATTACCAAACCCAATAATGAATAAAAGTTTAAAAAAAAAGTAAAAATAACAAATACCACTCTGAAACTCCTGTCCATGAATAATAATTTTACCAGAAAGAGAGTAGTAGCGGTGGTAAAATCCAAGAGGGGGTTGTGGCAGAATCACTTGGAGGATTCTCTGCACAGTGAAAAGGAGTGCGTCTTGCATGTGCCCTTCACTTATTGCTTCTTCCCATCATCACTCAGCAGAAAACAGAGTGCTCTGTTTCCTGCTCTGGCCGTTTGTCGTTTTATTGACTGTCTCACACTTTTCAGATCTTAAACCAACCCATCTAATCAAAACTTAATCTTTTGATTCAACTTGGGAAATACTTGATAAGACACTCGAAAAGGAAATAACTTTGGAGCTGAAAATTTCTATATTGAGAAGTTTAAGGATAGAGGTACAGGATTAGAGAGAGAGAGAGAGAGAGAGGTGTGTCTGCTAATCAAAGCTTAATCACAAACTCGGGCAGAGAAATAGATACAGAAACAAAGACGGAAAACGCTCAATGATCTGAACAAATGAAGGAGATGACAAGAACAGAGACAAGGAGAAGGAGACTTAAACGTGTCTCTCTACTCTTCCTTTCTTCAGAGAAAGCGGAAACAGAGGAGGCAATGCAGAGGAAGACGTCTTGGGATGAGAACATATAGGGACATTGATCATTGGCCTTATCCTCGTGCTCGTCGACCTCGTTCTCTCCAACCCTTTCTTCGCTCTCTTCCCTTCCTTCTCCCTCTCCTCCTTCCTCGCTGCCTCCCCCAGAGAGCTCGATGATGATGACGTGGATGAAGACGATGACGACGGCGACAGAGACGACGCTCGAGCCCTCTGCTTCTTCAGCCGTAGAAGCTCCTTCCAGAGCACCGTGCATGTCGGCGGACGCGGAGACGGGTCGTCGTCAAGAAACCAGTTCACTCTGTTCTCCTGATCCTTGTTTGTCTCCGCGTGATCTTTCACTTCACCAGCTCGTTCTTCCTCTCCTTTCGTATTGATAGTCACTCTCTTTAGCTTCTCCGAGTGCTGAATCTGCCAATAAGGAAGCAACTTCCCTTCGCTGAAGAGCTCGTCGGCGGTCAGCATGGTTTGACCCGAGTTCACATTTTCCGACAGGAACTCAAAGTCGGCGGCTTTCGCTTGACCCTTGTCCTTTTCCCCCTTGCCCACAACAGGACTGATGCAGATGAAGTCGCTGTCCTCGTCGTCGCCGGAAAAATCGGCGGAGAAGGAAATGCGGGGGCTCGACGGCGGCGGATCCGCCGTAACCACCACCATCTTGGCCGCAGGAAAAGCCATAGGCATTGTAGTTCTACAGTTACCGTACGGTTGTCTCCTTAATCACGCGATGATAGGAGGATTAGAGAGGAGAAGGTGGCTTTGGATGGATGATTCGCGTTATGTATATAATGTGAATAAAAGCGGGGAAGAGAGAGCGGTGATGAAGAAGATGAAGCAGGTAAATGGGTGTTTAGAATATAATAGGAAGCATCACATGGACAGATTTACAGAGATTGAACCATGCAATAGATTAAATGTTTATGTTTGAATCATTACATCGAGAGACCGATCGAATTAAAACCCATTTCTTATGTCCGTAGGTAAATGATGATGCCGAGGTTGAGAGAGGAGAGACTTTGACTTGTCTGAAATTTTGGGTCAGGTTCAAATTCGGTTCATTTATTTTCGGTTTAGTGGAAAACTTAGTTTGAGGTTTTGAATTTAGTTTTTGGTTTTTAAATTTAAATTTAAAATTTTTATCGTATTTGTAAATAAAAGAATGGAATTTTTTAGAATATAATATTTTTAGAAAAACTATATACAAATTTTTTAGAATATAATGTTAGTAAAATTATATATTTTCGAATATTTAAAGGTAAAATCAATTCGTTGTTGATCTCAACTGTTATTGTTATATATGGTTTAGATTCAGAATTTCGATTTGAAAAAACTACATCTAATTAGTTTCAATGTAAAATCTGATATATATTTGATTAATTCGGATCCGTTCGATTTTATTATAATTAAACCGAAATGGTTACGTGGTTTGACCGACGACGAAGGGAGGAGGAGGAAGATGAACAGTGAACACATGTACTCACATGACCCTCGTGTCGTCGCCATGTGACAAGCAACTGCACCATCTCCGATCTCTTTGGTGGTGGTCGTTAAACTATGCAAACAAAAAAATATTATATCCAAAAAATGTCAAATCACATTATCTTATATGAAAATTGCGAGTTAATTCCCTTTCTTTCTATTTCTAAACAAAAAAAACTAAGGCCTGAATGAAAATGCCTTTTGGGATTTTTAAAATTTTAAAACAAAAAAATTGACAATCAAGTTACTATAAAAGTAGTTTTCCTGCAAATTTTAAAAATCATTTTTATAAATAAAAAATCAACTAAAAACTTAAAAAACTCCTTTCTTTTAGATTTACAAAAATAAAAAACCAAAAACCAAAAATCAAAAACTAAAAACTAAAACTAAAAACTCAAAATAAAAACCACTACCATTTCAAAACGTCCTTTGTATATCTAGAGAAAAACATATATATTATCTCTGTGATCCATAAAACATAATTTTTTTTGTTAATGATGTAATGAAATATGATTTTTTTCATTAAAATGTATATTTTAATATATATATAACGGTCATATGGATTATGGGAATTATTTGCTAATTAAAAAAAAGGTCATGCAAATGCCAAGTGGCGGATAGCACCAATTTTCTCCCATCTGTGAAAAAAAAAACTTCAGCTGAAAATAATCAAGTTCGAAAGGACCCGACAGCTAATAAATACACTGTTTACGATTATTAATTTCAAATTATTATTAAATTCGATAACAAATGGAGCCGATCGAGGAGAGGCCATTTACGTGTAGGCACGTTGAGTTGCAGGTTTTCATGGCGTCTCTCTCTCTCCCTCTCTCTCT